ATAATCAAAAAACCAATTATTGTTATTATTATTATTATTATTATTATTATTAATTGAAGTTTATTTATTTTAAAAAAGTACATCAAAATAATAAAGCAGTAAGAAGTTGAAGTTCATTATTGGTTGGTTAATAGATAACCGAAGTTTATTACCTCATAATACATTTTGTCGAAACAAAAATTTTCGTGTAATAAACTAAACGGCAATAATTTAACATGCTGAAAATGGACATTTTTTAAGTGTTTTACACAATAAAATTCATTTAATTCATTGAAGTAGGTAAAATGGCTAAACCCGCTCCAAAACCTGTTTGAATGATCTAATTTATTTCAGTTCAGAATAACAAATTTGATTTGCTTTTCAAATAATTCAGTCAGCTAAAAGGATGAATCTTTTTAAATGAATTAAGCACAAAAGAAATTATTAGTAAACTCAAAAAGCATTGCTATATAAACACGAATATTTTTCAAAATTTTTACTCTTTTACTTTTTTATTTTTAAAAATATGCAAAAAAATCAAAAAAAAAAAATTTTTTTTAATAAAAAAACGAAAAAACTTGTTATTTTTGCAAATAAAAGTGTTAAGTTTTCCATTGATTTTTTTAAAAAAAAAGCTTTGTATTTTACAAGAAAAAATAAACTAATTGCAATATAAAAATTATTAAAGTTATAAATGAGTATTTTTTTTAACAGAATTTAATAATTATTCATATTTTACTCTGATAAATTTGCCTAAAAATGTTTCATTTAGACATTATTAATTAAAATTTATTTATCTTAATTTTAAAATTTTTGTATTGCAATTAGTTTCTTTTTTCTTGTAAAAAAATATCTTAAATTTATTTTAATTTTAATTAATCATGACTGAATGAATTTGAAATTTATTCAAATATGAGCTTACTAAACTGCAATTATTAATTACAAAATTATTTTTTTTCAATAAGTAAAAATGATATTTTCACTCTGACTGAAATAGTATTATCAAAAAAATTTCTATTTTACTTAATTAGTACGAAAATTCAACTTTGATTACTTCTTACCATTAAGATGTTATCACTTTGAGCAGCTAAAAAATAGCAAAAAAACGTGCAAAAAACAGAATGTAAATTTAAAAATTACAAATTTCAGTACAAGCAAACTGAGTTTAATAATAAACAACAGAATAGCAAAATTTATTGGGTAGGAAAGATGGAGCTAAAATTAGCTAAGAAGACAAAAATGGCAAGGATAGGCAAGTCCAGGCCAGCTTTCAGGCCAGTGATATATTGATTAAGAGCTTTTGCTCGGGCCTTAATTGTCATATTAAATATGATTTTTTTAAATACACTTTGTGGCATAAATCTATTCAATTATTTTACTCTTTTATGTGCATTTTTTCATCAAAAATATTTTATTTTAACAAATTAAAGCCTTTAACATAGAATATTCTTTCTGTGATTTGAAAAATTAAATTATTATAATACTAAATGATTTGTTTTTAGGCATTAAAAGTAAATTTACACGAATTTTCATAGATTGAAAATCAATTTGTTACTTTTTTTGATCGATTTTGTTTTTACTCACTGAAATTAGTAAACAAGTGAATAAAAAACTAATTTAAGTAATTATTATTTTTTGCACATTCCAATCATTCAATCATTTATTTATCTAACAAAATTGGCCAAAAATTTGTAATTTGTACAAAAATGACTTGCTGACCTTTTGAACTTTTGACTTTAAAATTAGTTTTAATATCACAAATTGAGTACTAAAATGCAATCATTGACATACATGAATGATGTAGTTTTTTGCTTCCTTTTCATTCTGGTTCATCGACACGATTATTTCGTTTTCTGGATGGAACGTTTCTATTTTCAAACTTTATTTCTTTGAAAAACACGGATTTCATTTTCATTAAAGTTTACTAATACGGATATTAATCAAATATATCTTGGTGACCTTTGCCATCACATCGTTTAATCATTTTTGGGTTTTGTTTTTACCATTTAAATTACTACAATCTAATTTTATTTTTAACATATTTACTTATTTGATAGTCACAAGAATTTTATCTATTCATTATAATTTGGATATCACTGTAATCCGATTATCTGTAGTTACAAAATTTTTCTTCAATTAAATATAAGATAATTAATAAATTAGGAATATCACTATTAAATCATCGTTTTTTATGCTGTAAAAATTCACAAAATTTTGTGCTATAAGCAGAAATTATAAACATTGTAGTCAGAACTATTAATATAGGTTTATTTGATTACTGTCACATAATTAAATTATAAATTATCATTTACAGAGAATATGAATTAAATTAATTGATAAATCAAATTATAAATAAAAGTTTGGTAGAGAGACAAAGTATTTTTTGTTTTAAATTAATGGAAATTTTGCAAGAAATGTAATTTTTATATGTAAAATGTGGATTATTTGTTTGATTTAGAAGTTTTTATTCCTAAAATAATTAGTAATGAAAAAAAAAGAACTTAAATAATTGTAGAAAAAGTATTAGGAGTTTTTTCCTGAGATAACATGGATTCGGGGGAATATAACGAGCAGTTAAACCGGTATTTTGACTAAAGAAGAAATAGCAGGAACTACAAACTAGTTCTCGATTACTGCTTATCCAATACTAATTTCTTATTATCATCTTATTGCAGCAATCATTGTAACATCGTTTTAATCTTCCAGTAATTTCTACCTCTCGATGCTATCGTTTGTACTGACTAATCAATAAAGTATTTTTCAAGCTAGCAATCAACTTAATTGCCAATTTATTCAATTACTCGCTTACTATCGTGTCACTCTTGAATGTAATGGCTAAAAATTGGTATTCTAATTTTCTCAATATTAATTCAAATATTCTACTCATTGCATTTATTCTTCTCTTTCTGGCTCAGCAAGTCAAAGGTCAAATAGCAGAAATAGCTTCATTATCTAGTGGCTTAGCTGGGTCTGCCCTCGGTGCAGCCGGAGGAGCTTCAAGCCTTCTGAACAGCTTACTTACTTGTTTGTTTTTGTGTTACATTTAATCTTTGACTTTAATATTTCTATAATACATTAACTTTGTAATGTATTTGAAATTCACAGCTGAAAGTAACTTAGTTATTCACAATCAAATATAATAAAAAAACATTCAAATATAGAAACTCAAATTATATGAGATCTATTTTTTATTACTCGTCAAATTAAGTAAATTCATAGATTAAATGAATTACAGAACCATTCAAATTTCATGAATGTTTAAATTATAAGAAGAAAATGCAAAAATTTGAGAAAAGTAAAATAACTATTGCAGTGTATCAGATAGCACAGGGAGCCCTGCATCTAACAGGCACAAGTGTAGGGATTCTGAATCAAGCTTCAGAAGGTCGATGGTTCAACTCTATGCTTGAAGAGGCTGTAAATGTGAGTTAAGCATATTCTCAGTGATTCAAAAAATTGCAATAGAGAATTTGCTGCATTCAATTTTACTTTTATAAAACGAAGTTGAGTAATCTTAGCATATTATTTTAAAAATGTCTACAAAATAATAAAAATATAATTATTTTTTCAACAAATTACTCATTAATGAAAGTATAAAAATTGTTATTTTGTTGGGATTAACCTAATTTTATTTTATTTTTTAAATATTTCTGAATAAATAATTGTAAATATTTTAAAATTGTGTTGTGAGAGAAAATGCCTCAGCAATTTATGTTGTTAATGTTTTGTAAATTTAAAAGGTATTTGGATTATGTGAGAATTTTTTGTAGACTAAGCGAAAATTTGAAGAAACATCCGTGATCGGTAAGTGGTTTTTTATCAGCTATGGAATTAAATAAAAGTTAAGTGCTTTTTTTTCAGAAATAATATACAAAAAAAAGTATTAACAAATCTGTACAATTACTTCTGCCTAGAAAAAAATCTGAAACAATTTAAATCTGATCAAAATTTTAATCAAGTTTGAATAAGCGCAATTAATATTTAATAATAATCAATGAAATCTGATTCTAATTCACACAATATTTTGAATGTTTGAAATGCTTGAATAAGCACAAGTAATAATTAGTGAAATCTGATTCGCGTTTTATTCTAAATGTTTGAAATTGTAATATCAGACAGTTCTAACGCTAAAAATATTTTTGACTAAAAATCTAATCGCTAACTTTTTTGATAATAAAATTTGAGCAAAATTTAATAATTTAATTGTATTAAAAGTTTTTCTTAATTTTCTGATTTCTAATATAGTTTATTTGCTGAATTATTCAGTGCGTGTCAGATCATGATCGCAGAATTCACTGATTATCAGTTTGATCAAAAAATTCAGACGAAGAAATAAACTATTCAGTCACTTTTTCAGAATCGATGATAATAATTAATTATTTTTGAGAAAAAAAAAATTTTTTTAAAAGTTTTTTGAATCGCAAGAAAACGTTATTACTATTGTCTATTTCTTTACAATTAATTATTTTTTTAATTTTATTAGTCCATAAAAAATTAAAAGTTTAAAATTCATTCGTAATAATTTCAACAAAGTTTCTCATTTCCAATAGAAAGCAATGTAATAAATATTTGCATATAATATTTGAATATATTACCCAAACTTGTCAATAATATCAGCACAGATCAGAATCAACAAAAATCTCGAGAAAAATTGCAGGTTCTGAAAGAGGTATTGATTACTCTCAATTCGGTACCAAATTTCCCGCTCCCGAAGCTCATGATTACGATGCAGAAGATCTTACAAAACCGGACGATCTAATACCTGTCGACAATATAATCACTTATACAACTACTACAACTAATACTCCACCCGCAACTCTTTTCCCTCTGGAAGTAAAGGATAAATCTCTGACTATATTAAAAACAAAACTAATACTTTTTTACTAATAATATTTTTACTAATTAATTTTGACTAATAATAAAAGTTTCAATTAGGGATTTTTTACGCAACTTCGTTACAAATTAAAAGTTTCAGATTCATTTTTTATATTGTCAATTAGCATTTTTTTTCTTTTTTTCCCTAAACTTTTAGGAGGAAACGAATGATCCCAATACGGGAAAAACCACGGAAAGTTTGCTTAAAAATATTGTGATTGATTCCCTCGAGACTAATCGATTAGCAAAGAAAGAAATTTTAAATTCAGCTAAACTTGAAGTATCTAACAATTTAGACTACGAATCTGTACAGTCGGTTTGCTGTTTATATATTTACTTTGCAATGCTTTTTAGTATTTGCATATATTATCGTAAATATTAAAAAAATCTGTGTCTTCTGAAAGCTCTTTTTAATACTTTTATTTTGTCTAAAAGTATTTTTAATTGTAAAAATTTTCGCAATTTAAGTCGGGAAAAAATTCATATTTTTTAAGGAAAAAGAATTAGAATCAACTGGAGAGAAATCCTCAAAAATAGAACGACTTCTTGCACTGTTTCAAGAAAGTAATATTACGAAAAGTGAATTACGTGAAATGTCAAATTTTCTTGATAAGTTATCAAAATCAGAAGAGTCTGAGCATATTACGACAGCATCTAAAATAAGCGTTGATTTCGTTGATCCTGAAAATACCGTTGATTCCGCAGCAATACCATTTCATACTCCAGACACAAAGTACCACATTGTCGTAAAATTGAAAAAGCTTTCTTATTTAATCAAATAAATTTCCTCAAAACTATAATTTTTTAATATTTATAATAAATCTTGCAGTTAATATTAACAGTTCACTAATTTGTTATTAATTAATTTTCATTTATTTTTTCTCATTAATTGTAATTTAATTTTTATTATTTTCGTATTAAGTGAAAATTTTCAAATTCAATTTTTTTGTGCGTAACTTTTGCGATCTTTTTAACTTTTCTGTAAAAATTTTAAGTGATTGTGGCACTTTTGAAAAAAATTAGTAAAAAATTTGTAAATAAATTTTGATTTAAATTAATCGAATTTATTTCCAGTTGATGTAATTTATCAATACAGATTTACGTAAAAACAACGGATGTTTTCAAGCTTGTGTTTTTTAACGATTCCCTAATAAAAGAATATATTATTTAAAATCAATAAATGGTCTAAAATAACGTGATTATTCTAGACGGACATCGTTAACTACAGTTTTACCAATAAAAATTCGAACACTAAAATTAGAAAATGTGATCGATAATGAAGATAACGATTTACTTCCGATTATTACTCCAAAATTTAAAACGGTAACAGTTGTTTTCATTGCTGTTTATTAGTGTAATCAGTAATATAATGCTAGAAAAGTTTTTTTATATTTGCAATGAATAATTTTTTATTCTAGAGAACAGCTGAAACTAAAAAATGGCAAGATAATCAGCATAAAGTTCAACCAAAAAGAACAACCTTTCGTCCATTACGTAAATTTCCACGTAGAACGGCATATACACCAAAGCTATCATTTTTATCTCGGAAACACGAATTCGTAACCATGCCGCCAAGTTTTCTCACAAATGATCATACTTGGCAAGGTAGATAAAAATCACTTAAAAAACCTTTTTATTACCAAAAATTATGCTTTACCTTTTAGAATTTTGTTCAGAAGATTATGTATTTTCTTGACATCAGAAGGTAAAAGATTAGGCATTTCTTTGTCCTCAAAACTAACGAAGAAAAATTTTTAGGCAGAGGAAACATTATGCAAGCAAACAATGTTTTCCCAAATAATTACAACTTCGAAATTGGTGACTTGAAACCAATATCACCTACATCCTCTTCAAATGCTTTGATGCCACTTTCATTTCCTGTGGTATCTGCTGTACCTGTACAAACTGCCAAAAGTTCTTCAGCACCACTCAATATCCCTTCAGCACCATTAAGATTCCCAGTGTCCTCTGCTACACCAGTCAAAATCCCTGAAGGTTCTGCTGCACCAATTATAGGGATCTTTACTCCTTCCAGTGCTTTCTTGCAATCACAAACTTTACCAATTAATCCTTCTTACTTACCAAAAGCAAATGATGCTGGACATTTGCTTCATCAGAATCTTGTCTATACTCCAAGAATCTATAATTCTATTCCTCAGCAATACAGTCAGTCTCAACATATGGGAATGAATCATCCATCTGCAACTTATCCTCAAAATTTGAATCCTATCCAAACTTCATGATTCACTATTGGTTAATTCATATGAAAATTAATTTCTTGTTAAAAATTATCAAATCTATTCATTAGCACTTTTTTAACTTAATAGACTAACTTACTTTCATAAATTAGACCAATATCTATATAAATTTCATTTATATGCTAGAAATTATATTCCATATCAATTTGTTACTTACAGATTTGGTCTTGGCTGAATTATTCTTTAGATTTGCTCAAAGACAATAAAAAATTGCTTTTGAATTAATTTAAGCGATGGAAAAAGTCCAAAGTAACTCAAATATATTATATTTTGTTTAAATTTATTCATTATTTATATGCAAATTTTATGCAAAGTGAAACTTTAGAATCATCAAAATTTGCAGATTGAAAAAAAAAAATTGCCGAATTTTTTAAAGAAAAAGTTTGATATTATTATTATTGTTATTATTATCTTTATTGTTATTAATCATTAAATTATTATCGTTAAAGCGTCACTTTGATTATTAACAGGAATGTTGTTGGACAATTACTATTATTACTTCTTTACTTTATATTAATTATTATTTGAAGAAGAAGTGGAAAGAGAGGAAGCAAAGCATCCATACAATTATTGGGGCTCAAGCGAAATTCAGGGATCGTGTTGCGGGCTAACCAATTTGCTAGAAACTTGTCAATGGATTTATGAATTTGCTCTTTTGTATTCAGTGTTGTCCTTTAAATTGTATTCATTTAAATAACATCATTTTTGTATTATTGATCCAATTACATTTTGTTGTACAAAATTGTTATTTAAATAAAATTTGTTCATTAGCAAATGCAAATGCACAACTGATTAATTGCTATTCAATGCACAAAAACATTAATGCTTGCCTTCGATTTCTGTTTGAAAATTCAAATTTTGGTAAGGCCTAATTGTTGCACTGCAAATATTTTAAGTAATAACTAAATTCTAATTTGGTACTTTTACTCTTTGAATGGGTTATTCATTGAAAATTATTTCATACAAATATGATTATAGCTTATATTTAGTTTAAACTCTTCATTTACAAGAAATAAACAAATAAATAAATAGACAAATAAATAAATAAATAAATAAATAAATAAATAAATAAATAAATAAATAAATAAGTAAATAGACAAATAAATAAATGAATAAAATCAATTCTGTGCTATTTCTAGGGATTACTATGATCTTTTAGCAATTATTGCTTGTTTTTACATTAT